ACAACTTCTATACAACGAAAGGAGACTGCGACCACACAAAAGGCCACATCATCTTGGTCTTCATACCTTCAAATATATAATTAGGTATGAAGACCAATATTATGTGGTCTTTACTTTTTACGAAGTCTACTTTCGTAATATAGAAATTGTATGGCCTTGTTTTCGCAACTTAGCCCTATTGTCAGGGCGATCTAGAGGAAAGCATCTTGTCAGTCAGTAATATCCATGATAATTTTCAATCTGGCCGTGGCCTTGGTCCGTTCACAGATGTTTTGCTGCCAACACAGACGAATTCGTCAGCTTTATAAGCCAACTTGGAGAAATAATAGGATGAGCGACAAATTTTCATAGATTTTGAGGTAATTCGCTCCAACTACACTCAAGAGGAGACTATTCAAGGATAAATAATATAATCACAACAGAATTAAAGTCAGAAAAATAAGAGGTTTTATCATCAGCAGCTTAAGATTAACCTGGAAGCAGTTAAAAGACAAAATTTCTAACATGACTCGGATTTTCCTTAGTAACGACTACCAAAAGGAATTCATAGAAAGAAATATAGAGGTACTAAAGATTAGGTTTCAACTTGCCAGGAATCGGAAGGGCTAGAAAAAGTGAATATTCCTGCCCTCTTATTAAGTTAGTCAAAAGTTGAGATGGTTACTAAAACAATGGAATCACAAGGCGATATAAAATAAAAAGATAGTACTCTTCACTAGCCTACCGATGCAATAAGAGGTTGACAAATTGATTTTCTCGGGAGTTTATAGCATAAAATGCGGCTATTCTAAGCAAATTGTACTGGCGAAACAGCACAATAATCAGCCTACCAATCAAGGAACATTAGATTGCAGAAATATGGATATGGAAAAATCCGTAATAGTGGAACACAATGCACAAACGAGTACTAAAAAGTGACTGTAATTCGACAAAAGGCTGGTTGCATATCATGGAAATACAAGAAAACACAAGATCCGAGATGCCATTGACATACTGAGTGAAATAAATTGAATGAATAGGCAGGACTAGATCAATTTCGCAAATTGCTTAAACGAACTTGGATGTTATCATATTAGTGAACAAAGTTCGCTTAGACATCAACCTGCAAGTACTACCTTATGACACAAGTTTCCGATATTAAACAGTCTGCAATAGTTCTTTAGTAACTTGACTTCAGCTCCAGCACAAATATGATAAATTTGGGAGATCGTTTAAAAAATATGAAGTGATCCAGAATTAAAAAGATGACTGCCAAACAATTTATTTTCCGCCAGAGTGATATCTTAAATTTAGTCTAGAAGAATATAAATAGATATATACACATTTAAAATTAGAGAATTCGTTAAAAAACTATAAATAATTATCCCAATAAGATATACAAGCCATATAGAACAATAAATGGAGCAACGCAAAGACAATAAATATTAATGAGCTAGGTTATGGATTCTGAAGAACATTATGGGCACCAAATAAAAAATAAGTCTCTTGTAATAAGACCTGATACTTTCCTTATTAATACATCAATGGTATTCCTAGTTCTCTTTCACTAAGACTCATACTGCTTCAAGTTGATGAAAGCAAAATTTTGATACTGATAAAGAGAACAAATGTTTTCTCAAATGATTCTTTTGAAAATGGGGATAAACAAAATCATACGAAAGATGTAAAGTATCGACCTGGAAGTGCTCCTGCTGTACTTTTCTATGGTGATAGGTTAGTATATTTAAAAGTAGATAACAAAAAGAATTGGGCAGCGGGGATCATATAATTTATACGCAGATTAAATATCAGTAAAAAGAAAGAAAACAACGCCTTTTCTAAGGCACGAAATATAAAAGCAAGATTTTAAGGTTAAGCACTCATAGAATTCTTAAATATATTAAAAAAGCCAAACAGTTGAATATATCAAGCGAACGTAGAATTTAACGAACTAACCAAAAGCTGAATATAAAACACTTACTGAACTTCATCTATTATGGTAAAATCCGGCATCATGTGAATCATCAGAAGCCCACTTTCAAATCCCGTAATGAGTATTTTCAACTTTTTATGATAGGCCGTTACTGTGACTTCGTCGCGAATAGAAACGTTTTTAGTAGTAAAATAGAAATGCCGCTTGGCCAATTTATAAAGAGCCTTTTTATCTTTAATTTCAGTGGCATTCAGGGCTAAAGACGAAGATATGGATGAAAGACCAGTATCACATTCCCACAAAACGACATGCCCGTCTGCAGAAATAACGATTGCATCGAGACTGTCTTCAGTTAGATAGGCTCCTTTGATGGGTCCATTATGTCCAGTAAGTGAATAGATGACAAGCCCTCGTGTTGGCTTTACTGAGTAAACACGAGCAATGGTGTCATCACTGCCTGCAATGAAGAATCTGAAGCTATATATTTACTAATATTTCCTACCTGGAATCAGAGGACCAATCAAGGTGCTTTACATCTTCTGAGGCTCCATAATACATCCTATAAAATTCCATTTGGTTATAATGGCGCTTAAGTGATGGGGTATGGAATACAAGAATGCTATGGCCCTTGGCAATTGCTAAAAATCTATAAAATTTAAAAGCGCAATTTAATATTACTCTCCATTAGGTGAAAATGAAACGGCAGTTGCTGGATATCGAAGCTTAAATTGAGAAATAACCGTACCGGCCAGCAGTGATAGCATATAAGCGTTACCATCTGGATGTATTGGATAAAAAAATACTTACTTTCATCAAAAGCGATTAAAAAAGATAGATGAGGTGAAACTGCAACATGACATATATTAAAGCTTGCATCGACCTTCAGAGTCCTCGCTTCATCTCTAAGAATAGGCGAACCAAGAATACCTACCGTGCAAGGTCAAAGAGAGTTATCTGGTTTCCGACAGGACTAAAAAGTCCCATCCCATTACTAGTAAATGAAAGATTTCCTTTTTTGTAGGCAGTTCCAAAAAGATTAACAAACTGTTAATTAGTAAAAATAGATACAAACCTTGAAATTGAGACGCATGGCGATAGCATGCGCTAATGAACTAAGTTGCGCTCGCTAAAAAAACACCATTAAAACATATTCCTGAATTTTTGCTAATATTAATA